CAGAACGAGTCACTTTATAAATTAATGTCTCCCGAGAATTTTAATTTGATTAAAATCAGATTGTAAATAACAGGGAAATAAATGATCAGCTGCCTCGTGCTTTAATCAGAATCTGTAGTTTTTCCTCAGAACAGTTTTGATATGATGAAAATAGCAGAAGTCACATTTTAACTCTATTAAACTCGATTTATTTCCTGTAGGTTTACATAACAAACATAAAACTGTCCATGTCAATGTTCTCTAAATGTGACCGAGGTGAAATAATCCAGAATCAATCTGAGTTTATTCTGTTTATTCCTCAGATTCTGACATGACACACGTTTAGTTCTTTGTTTTTTTTATAGAGTCTCAGGTGTAAACTTTGTTGGAGCAGAATCCAGCAGCGCTGAAGTAACTGGTGACTCCTTCTAATGTGACGAGACATAACCTGCTGCTGTGACGTCATCGTGTCCATAAACCCTCACATTCAAATTCAACTCTAAACAATATCATTTACACCCCTCCCCCCAGCTTAGTGTTAGATAGATAGTTTATTGATCCTGAAGGAAATTCAAGCATCCAGTGGCAGTAACATACATTGAACATACATTTGAATTGACTTATACATTAGAGTTAACTTATAACACCGTAACCAAACGTAGAAATTGGCCTGAGATGAATGTAAATTTAAATGTGTGCAGAGAAATTAAGCAAATTAAATTAAACATTTGTAGCAAAATTTTAGTTTTACAGAGAAATTAAACAATTAAAGTTAAAAAAAGTGCAGAAAATGTGCATAGAAAATAAATATAGAACTGTGTTAAGTTAACACGTGCTAATCGTCTGAACAAAAACTATAAAAACTAGAAAGTAACCGTAGAATCTTTTTTTAGTGTTGAGGACAAAGTAAGTTTAATTTCAGAATGAACTAATAATTCAGTAATAAAACGGATCATATAATCTGATGGTTTCACACTAACTTAATATCATAATTTATATTTTTTATTTTAAATATAATTACATATCTCCCTGTGGTGGGGGCGCTGCTCCTCCGCTCCGCCGGGGGGCGCTGGACCTCCGGAGCCGCAGAAGAAGCGCCGCACCGCCGCGGCTCTTCCTCTTCTTCCGCGGCCTCAGAGGTAGGAGCTCAGGTTCTCACATGAAGGAAACAATCCGTCGTGAATCTGATCTAAATCTTCACCATCCTCTTCCTTCGTCCGCTCAGATTCACTCGCGCTGTTGAAAACTCTCCGCTCAGGTTGAAAGTTCTTGTTCGCGGCCTCAGATTCTGAGTTTTTAACGATGAGTCGGGTTCAGAGTGTGTCCGCCATGTTGTGAGCGTCAGAACACTGAAGCTGAACGTTTCTCAGTTTCTCTCAGTTTCTCTCCAGCTTCACTCGCTTCACTGTTTTTGGTGAAACTTGTTAAAACTGCAGTTTCTCGGTGATTCTCTGTGTGAGCGTGTCGCTGCAGCGAGTTGAGCTAATGCTAACTAGCATCAGAAGCAGTCTGTGTAACCTGGTGTTCTTGTTTTCATTCTTCTTGTTTTCATTCTAACCTGAAGTTTGTTTGTCTCCAACAGATTTTCTGAAAATGGTCCGCTACTCCCTCGACCCCGAGAACCCGACCAAGTGTGAGTACAGCCGCCTGGTGCCGGTGTTAGCCTGTTAGCCTGTTAGCTCAGAGGCTGGGATGACTTCTTAGGACACCTTTGGATTAAACATGAAAACAGCTGAACTGAAGCTGAGCTTCTGAACGTAGAGTGACTCTGTGAATACCACGTGTGTCTACGTACGTGCAGAAACATGTTCTTGTGTGTGTGTGTGTTTCAGCATGCAAGTCGAGGGGCTCCAACCTCCGGGTTCACTTCAAGGTAAGATGATGTCACATCCACACGTTGGTTCAAGTTAAACTTCAACACGTGTTCAAACTAAACATCAACTACAAACAAGAGGTTAAATGTTATGTGTGTCTGTCATCATACGTGTTTTCATTGAGTCAACATGTATGTTAGGTTTTCTACATCAGCCTGTGACTCGTATCCATGTTGGACTTGATCATACATGTTGGTTCATGTCATACGTGACGAGTGAATGAGTCTTTAAACTTTGTCTCATGAGGACACTGATGTTTGAATCTAACGACTTCACATGTTCATGTTAGTTTGAACGTTTTGATTTAACATCCACGAGCAGCAACATGTGGAGGAAGAAGTTTCCTCCGTTAACATGTTGATGTAAAACTACCAACTACTACATCACCTCAGTACAAATACACAAAGATCCTAACAGTAATAATAAACAACAGTAATAATAAATATCAGTAATACTTTGCAGCTGTTTGTGAATTCAGTGATTGACACAAGATGATTGCGATGACGACATTTAGGAAAACTTTGTATGAACCATGAAAACAACAGAGAATATCTGAGCCATCTGTCAATCACTCTGAGGTTCACATGTTAAATAAATGATCTCCAGGTTTTGTTTCAGACGAACTGTCTGATTTCTTATTTTCCTCTGATGAGACACTTGAATAAGTTGAATAACTTGTGCTGATGTTTCTTTGTGGACAGAACACCCGTGAGACAGCTCAGGCCATCAAGGGGATGCACATCCGCAAGGCCAACAAGTACCTGAGGGACGTTATCGTCCAACACCAGTGTGTCCCCTTCCGTCGCTACAACGGAGGCGTTGGTCGCTGCGCTCAGGTGAGCTGTCACGTGATGAATGAGTGTGTGTTTAAATCGTTGCGATGATGACGATCTTAGGACACCTTTGGATTAAAGATGAAACTAAACTGTAACTCTGAGCAGCGGTTAATCTGTCAGTCATGGGGGGGGGGAGAAGGAAAGCTGCTTAAACACTGTCGTTGTTTTTCAGGCCAAGCAGTTCGGCTGGACTCAGGGACGTTGGCCCAAGAAGAGCGCGGAGTTCCTCCTGCACATGCTCAAAAACGCAGAGAGCAACGCTGAGCTCAAGGTCTGTTCACAGGAGCTCGACTCCTTCCTGTGTTTACATGAGGCGTGTTAGAGTTTCATACGAAGAGAACATGTCAGTTTACTGTGGTCAGATGTGTGAGACATGTTGTCACCGTGTTGATTAGACGTCACATTATACACGATGAATGAATGAGACTTCAAACTTTGTCTGTTCAGAGAAAACAAGTGTTTGAAATACATTTTCAGAATAGTTGATTTATCACCAGAGAATGTTTCAGACAGAAATGATTTTGTTGAACAAAATGTCAGAATCACGTTCGACTGGTTTTGAGATTCTGTAAGTTTACCTTCTACACGACTCATGAATATTGTTCAAAGTGAATTTAACCAAACGGTAGATTCAGTAGTTCACTTGTTAACAGTCAATATTAAAGATTCTCGTCTGAAGTGATTATGATTATAAATTCACTAATTGAGGAAACAAAGACGTCAACATGTGAAACTGACACAGATTAAACTCTATGATTGAAATAATCGTACTGTTAATAACAATAATAATGTTAAATACAGGTTTATGTGAAACAGTGATTGACACGAGATGATTGCGATGACGACACTTAGGAAAACTTTGTATGAACCATGAAAACAACAGAGAATATCTGAGCCATCTGTCAATCACTCTTCTCATATACGTAGTCTCACGCTGTCACATGATCCTGGACTCTGAGTGGAAAGACGTCAGGACAGGAAACAGGCGCCAGATGATTCATAGCAACATAGTTAGCATTGTTAGCTTTAACCTGGGTGAACTGGTCCAGATGTGGTCTTCAGCTGTCTCACCTGTGTCGTGATCTCTCAGGGTCTGGATGTGGACTCTCTCGTTATCGAACACATCCAAGTCAACAAGGCCCCGAAGATGAGGAGGCGCACGTACCGCGCCCACGGTCGCATCAACCCTTACATGAGCTCGCCGTGCCACATCGAGATGATCCTGACGGAGAAGGAGCAGATCGTCCCCAAACCAGAGGAGGAGGTCGCTCAGAAGAAAAAGGTACAGTCCGTCAAATACTAGGGGGGGGCGGAGGCACAGAGTTAAGACAGATCGTGGTGATTGGTTCACGCTGCGGCGATCAAATGAGTCCACAGCAGGAAGTTCAACACAATAAATTCACCTGGTTCTTATTTGATCAGATTCAAAGTGAAATCAAACATCTGTTTTAACTCGCCGTCGCCTCCCTGTGGTCAGTCCACTCATGTGGTTGCACTGATGACATCTTAGGACACCTTTGGATTCACCATGAAAACAAACTGTTATAATTCTGAGCAGCCTGATCTCTGACCTCTGACCTTTGACCTGTGTCACTGACAGTCGAATAACTGAGCTTCTCTCCGCAGGTTTCACAGAAGAAGCTGAAGAAGCAGAAACTGATGGCACGCGAGTAAAAACCAATAAACCTGAAAAGTTGACATCACTCAAATCTCTGGGTCTTTTATTTTTTAAACAGAACATCTCACTTCCTGTGTGATTCAAAGATTTTTTTGATGAAGAAGCTACTTCCTGTTCTGTGGTGAACTGTTCATATTATAATCAGTCAGATAACTTTTCTGGGATGATCAATAAATTAAACCAGTAATTACTCCAGTGAAACAACATCACATGTTTGATTCCTCATGTTCTCGAGTCTGTTAAAACAACTGTTCAGGACGACGGCTGTGAAGGAACCTGGAACATCTGTGGTGTCGAGAGACAAACGTTTAATTCTCTCAGAATATGAAACTAAAGCTTTTATTTTAGTTTTGTCGTCGTCTCTGATCGTCCTGAAGTCGTCCGCCTGCTGATGACATCACGTCTGATCAGCTGTGAGAGTTCAGGTCCTGACCACTGTCACAGAAACGTTTGACCTGCTCAGGTAAGAGACAGGAAGCTCAGACCACAGCAGGAGAAATACAATCAAACTAACGTTAAACCTGATGAGTACCTTCTCCACAAACGAGTCCTGCTCCTGCAGTTAAACACATGACCACATGGAGGCGCAGCTACACCACTATGGCACAACCGTCTTCAGCTGAATAAGAATTCCTGATTATTAGTTCTAGATAATAAACAGTTGTTTCCTCCTCGTCCTGAGCAACTCTGACCAGTTAGATAATTGATTACAGTTTCTGAACGGATGAAACTAATGAATCACTGACGTCAAACATCAATAGTTTTATAATAAGTATAAGTAATAATTCCTGTAAATCATCCAAAGTGTTGCTTGGATATTATTTATTGATCTCTGCTGATTTTTAAATGATCCATTCAGTCAACATGTGAAACACGTGACCTGAGTTTATTTTTATTATTTCACTCAATTAAAGTTGTATTGTGAGGCAGTGTCGCCCCCTTGTGGTTTGAAACTCTACTGTTTGTTTATAACCTGAGTGAGTTTTCTCTGGATGTGATTTATATAAATACAGTTACATAAACGATTAATTTACAGTTATAACTTCAGTCATTTCCAGGGTCACCACTGTGTACTCTAGTTAGTAATCTGATTACAAGTAATGAAATCTGGATCCATTAGGAATAGAGAATTTTTTACCTCAAAGATTTTTTTTCTTGTTGGAAAATGTTCAGAACAAATAGAATAAATTTAACATTTTCAGCTTTAAAAAAAAAAATCTCATTCCAGCTACTTCAAACTTTAATGTTAGAAAGAACTAATCTGATCACACACTTATTTTGTAATGTGATTACTCTATGTAATCTGTTTCTAAGCAACTGATTTATTAAGATCATAATTAAAATAACGGATCACGTCACTGATGAACTAAAGCTTCTCTTACTCCTGAGCTTTCAGCTGTGTCACATATTCAGTGATTTAAAACAAAAAACAAAATGGCTGCTGATATTTAAAAGGTCAACAGATTGACCTCTGACCCCTGAACACATCAGCTGATGGCTCAGGTAGAGTTGACATTTATTCACACTGAAAATATCAAATCGAAATAATTATTATCATTTAAATCTTTAATAAATACATTTTAAATTAGATGGAACAAAGAGCAGCTCATTATATATTCAGATCAATTGTATTATTATTATCAGTACTAATACCACAGATAGATGGAGTGGTGATGATAGTTATAATAGTTATAATAATAGTTATAATATTCATGTAGTTATAATAATAGTTATAATATTAATGTAGTTATAATAATAGTTATAATATTAATGTAGTTATAATAATAATAATAATATAATAATAATAATTCCATTTATAATAATATGTCTCGTCTTCTCCACTGTCTCATTTTAAAAAACTACAAAACTTTATTTAACACAACAAACATCACAGTCAGATGTTTGTCCAATCAGGAGACTCTCTCCACCCCGGCCTCTACGTCACTGCAAGGTCAGCCAATCAGGACAGAACACCCCCCCCCCATGCCACCTCTGCCCCGCCCCTCTGAGTGAGTCCAGTGAAACTTTGGGACTGATGAGTCTGGTGACTCTGGTGACTCTGGTGGATCCGATGAGTGTGTGATGACTCTGATGAAGGTGTGAGGAGGGTGATGCTGGTGACTCTGGTGAGTGTGATGAAGATCTGATAACTCTGGTGAATCTGGTGAGCCTCTGGTGAGTCTCTGGTGAGTGTGATGAAGGTGTGATGACTCTGGTGAGTCTCTGGTGAGTGTGATGAAGGTGTGATGACTCTGGTGAGCCTCTGGTGAGTGTGATGACTCTGGTGAGCCTCTGGTGAGTGTGATGAAGGTGTGATGAGTGTGATGACTCTGGTGAGTGTGATGAAGGTGTGAGCAGCTCAGCCTCCGGCCTCAGTGTCTCTCTGACTCCGCACAGAGAGCATCAGTTCTCGGTCCTGGTTTTGCTCTGGACGTGGATCTGCTCTGACTCGCTGTGGCTTCTCTTCCAGGTAATAGTCTGCACCGTGAACCTGGTATGTCCGGAGAGGAGCGGCTCTCAGTGTAGTTCCACCCGGACAGAGTGAGGACCGCAGGGGCCTGAGCCTCCACAGAGTCCCGCTGCAGAGCTCCAGGAGCCCGCAGAGAGGAGGGAATGTTAGCGGTGGGTCCGATGGACGGGTCCCGACAGAGCGCCTTCCTCCTCAGCACCCCCCCTCTGGCTGCTCTGCACAGCATGACCGAGATGAAGACCCCGCTGTACCCGGCCTACCCGCTGTCCTCCACCGGCCCCAACTCCTCTACCTCACCGGCCACCACCTCCCCCAACCCGGGCGGCATGGCCGTGTCCTCCCCGGGGATCAAGAGCTCCACGGGTCTGTCCTCGGGGCTCGGCTCCCCGCACCTGTGCTCCTCCGCGACCCCTCACGGAATTAACGACATCCTGAACCGGCCCGCCGGGGCCGCGTTGGCCGTGGCCGCCGCCGCCTCCTCCTCGGCGGGGATCCTGTCGGGTCTGCCCCGGTTCAGCAGCCTCAGTCCGCCGCCGCCCCCCGGACTTTACTTCAGCCCCAGCGCCGCCGCGGTGGCGGTGACCCGGTACCCGAAGCCCCTGGCGGAGCTGCCGGGCCGGACGCCCATCTTCTGGCCCGGAGTCATGCAGAGTCCGCACTGGAGGGACGCGCGGTTCGCGTGTTCGCCGCGTAAGTTTGAGGATCCGCCGCAAAGTGGAGAAAAGAGATAAATATAAAAGAGGAGGCCGAAGTGATGGAGCTGATTCATGTGTCTTTTCATTTTCTCCCGTTTCAGATCAGAACTCAGTTTTACTGGATAAAGACGGAAAGAGGAAACACACCAGACCCACGTTCTCCGGACAACAGATCTTTGCTCTGGAAAAAACTTTCGAACAAACCAAATATCTGGCGGGACCCGAGAGAGCCAGGCTGGCGTATTCCCTGGGAATGACCGAGAGCCAAGTCAAGGTACACAGCACCCATCATATATATCATATATATCATATATATCATA